CCCTCCAATTCAAGAGTATTAGAAACTAATTCTATTAATAATTAATTGACTTGCTTTTATTTAATTTGTATCATTGGTTATAAACTTCACAATAGAATGTTGAAGAATAATTAATACAAGTACTTTATCTAAATGAGAAATGATAATACTAATCTTTATTACAGATTGTGTTTGTTAATTATTTTTTAAATTGTTGTTATGTTTAAATTAAATACAAGTTTCTCCCTTATTTCAAACAATGTACTCTTATTAGAATTATTTATACTTTTGTGATGGTTATTCCAACTAACATTTCAATAATTTACTCTTCCTTGTTTTATTAAAATAGAGTCAAACAGAAAGGATGAATATATTCCAAGATAATAAATCTAGTTATTAGATACCTCATGAATTAACACTTATTTCTTATTATTTTGGTTATTGAGGAAATAATAATTTGAATATTTTAAAGTAAAAAACTAAGAATTATTGAAACTAGACTTTAGATTTAGAAATTCAAAAGAACATCTGGGAACTCAACTCCATCAGGAAGATCACTTCCATCATTTAAGCAAACTGATAACGACAATGTCATTGTTTCATTCTTAAAATCTTCTCCATACATCTCTTTATAAATTTCAGTAAACTTCTTGGTTAAACGAGCTTGTCCACTAGGAAGATATGAACAATAGAATAACTTGTTACCAACAGTGATAGAGTCAATTTCAACTGGGTATTTCTTTGATATAATATCACATAATTCTTGTACCGTGCAATTTCCATCAAATTCTAATTTATCCCAAATAGACACTTCAAATCCTTCACAAATTTTTGTCTTTTTAACTGCTTCTGGTTCAGTAGCATCCATATATCCTATTGCTAAATTTAAGAATGAACAATGATATGCTTCTAATGGTTTCTTTTCAATAACTTTAATTAATTCAATGCATTGTAATCCAGATACTACAGCTGTAGTAGTAATCATTGCTGGTATAATTTTTCCTGCTATTAATTTTGTTTTTAAGAAATCAGCTGGTTTAATACAATAATTTTCTGCTCTTAAATTACTACATGCTGTTATAAATTGAATATGATGATTATTGTCATCGTCTTTTTCAAATTCTATTGGATTAACTTTTGGAATTTCTTTTCCTTTGATTTCTTCACTAAGTTCTTTAATTTCTGTTTCTGGATCTTCTGTTTTCTTTTCTTCACTTGTATATGTTTTTAAGGAATATGCATATTTAATAATTTCTTCATTACTTATTTCTTTTTTAATTCCATATATCTCTGCTCGAAGGAGTGATGCTGAAATAATAAATTCTTTTGCATATTGATTATCAATATTAAATGGATAAATATGTGGGAATCTTTTTGGTGCATGCCAAAATGGTATTCCTTCATCAGTAATTGTATTTTCTGGGAAATTTGTAATGAGTTTTTGAATAGTGTTAACAAAGTTAATATCATATTTCTCTCTTGCCCATTCAATACATTCTTTAAAATTATGTGGAACTTTACTAATTCCATTTTCTACAATCAACTTTAAATTTTCTAATAAAACTAATGGACTTTCTTTCTTTAATGTTTCTAAATAACTTTCTCCTTGTTCTTTATAATTTTTGATTGGTTCAATTTCTGTTTTAAAGAATCCTTCAAATCTATCTCTTGCCCATTGAATTGTATGGTCAATTTCATTAGGGAAATTATGAAGTGTACACATTGGAATACTTTTTTCTTCTGGATCTCTTACTGATCCTGTAGAATATGATTGTGTTATGTGTGGAATAATACTTTGTGTATTTCCTTTAGTTCCTGTTGTTCCTCCTTCAATCATAGCAAGTCCATATTTGACACATTGTGCATCACAATACATTCTAGCTTGTACATTATCTAATGCTGTAGTAACACTACTTAATGATTTGAAGAATTTCTTAGTAAAAATATTTTCTGTGGCTTCTCCAACTCTAAGTTGATAATCTTTGATATGAATTTCTGGATTCATTATTTTAACTGCTTCACTTGCAACTTTAGATTTTGGTTGATTAATGTTATTATTTCTGAATAAGAATTGTCTTGATAAATTAGACTTTTCAATATTATCATTATCTGTAATATGAATTAATCCTTTTCCACTACTCAATCCCATCATTGCCCATGTCTTTAATACTTCACATCCAATAGCTCCTGATCCAACAAGGAAAATTGTTAAATCTTCTATCTGTTGTTGAACACTTTTCCCTATGATATCAATTTGTCCTGAATATCTTCCATTATCAATAAATTCTTCTTTTGGTAATTCTAAATATTTATCTGGAAGAATTTCAAGACAATCATAAAACATATATTGACAATATGGTGTGTATTTTCCTGATGCTGCTTTTAATACTTCTTGTGCTGCAATTCCTCCAAATGCTGTATCTAATGGTGAGAAAAATCCATTGTTACAATAACAGAAAATCTTAATGATATTTTCATCCAATTCAACCTTAAGTTCATCAACAATACTTTTAAATTTCTTATAATCATCTTCATCATGACTTTTTGGACTCATTCCATATTTATCCATAAATATCATTAATCCATGATATAATCCTTGGTAACCTCTTAATCTTTCCATTTTAGACATATTAGTAAATGTGATTTCTCCTGGTTCATTTAATCTTTCTTTTAATGCTTTATAATGTAATGTAACAGTTGGTTTAACTTCAGTAACTTTTCCTCCTTTAATATATTTACCATATTGATTTAAATCTCCAACTTCAATTGAATATGCTGTTCTTTTAGTAATTTTAAATGTTTTTCCTCCATTTTCTGAATAATTAAGTCCAGGTAATCCAATAAATTCATCAAGTTGAACTTCATTTCCAACATCTAATGTACAGAAATTTTCATCAATAAATTGAATAGTATTTCCAACAACTTCATTAACAATATAAGTTAATGGTGTTTCTCCATTTGAATCAAAAACAACAAAATTATCTCCAAAATCATTAAAAATCATTGTAAATGGTCCTCTATTAACTGCATAAACCATTTTAACATTATGCTTTCTACATAATTCATTAATCTGAATAGATTGTTTTTCAGAAAGTAAATAACAAAGAACAATAATATCATAATCATTATATAATGATTCATCTGTTAATTCTCGTTTTTCTACTCTAACAGGAACACTATTATTTAATTCTTGGAATTGTTTGTGTGTTGATTCACTAATACAATGTCCAATATGTTCTTTTCTTAAAAAGAAATTTGTTCCTAAATCAGCTAAACATGCATTTCTATTATCTAATAACCCAACTGATTTAACAGACATCAATAACACATTCTTTGTAATTTCAGCACCCATTCCATTTAATCCTGCAATCAATACTTTTGTATTCATCATTTTAATTTGAGCATCTTTTCCAATAGTAAATAGTTGTCTTGATAATACAGCTTCATCAATTTGTTGTGCCATTGATGGATTTAAGTTGAATAAATTAATTTAAGATCAACTTATGAATAATTCACGTTGAGGTTTTTAAATTCCATTTTATTTTTATTTTGTTATTATTAATAATTTTGTGTTTTTTTGTTTTATTTTTTTACAGTTTTTTAGATTTTTATTCAAAGAACTTTAAAAATTTTTGATAACAAAAATTCTGAAAAGGAAGTAAAAAAAGGAACTTAAAATGATTTCATCTTTAAAATAATAATAACATATGACTGTAGTTTCTACAAAGGTAGGTGAAATCAAAGCAATTATTATTGGAGAATCGTCAGTTGGTAAAACATCATTGTTAAATGTTTTAGAAAATGGTAAATTAATTGGAGATATAAAAGCTACTGTTAGTATTGACTCGCACACCAAAGAGATTAGTGTTGATGGTAAAAAATTTAAGTTAAGAAT